ATTTGGTCCACCTACACTTGCTGACCTGCCAATTCTTTATTACTTGTCTAAACTTTTTATCATGAACAGGAACAAATAATTCACTGAGTGGCATATCTGAGTAGCAATATGCTAGTGAAGCCTATCACTTGTCCAGCACTGGCCACAAACAAAGAGCTTTCAATTAGTTTTTTGGGGAGCCATTCATATATGACAGATTGTCAAGACTAGCCAGAAATACAAAGAAAGTCACCTACATGAACAAAACACTAATATTTAAAATAGCAACAATAAAAATCAATGCTGACAGGGTAGAAAAGAAAAGAAAAATATTTTATCAGGGCACCTGGATGGCTCAGTCGTTAAGTGTCTGCCTTCGGCTCAGGTCATGATCCCACAATCCTGGTAAGGAGCTCTGCATTGGGCTCTCTGCTCGGCAGGAAGCCTGCTTCTCCCTCTCTCACTCCCCCTGCTTGTGTTCCCTCTCTCACTGTGTCTCTCTCTCTGTCAAATAAGTAAATAAAATCTTTAAAAAGAAAAAAAATTAAAAAGAAAAATATTTTATCTATGAACTAAGATGAATGTATTTCAGAAACAGAATAAAGGACGTCTCAGAAATTAAAATATTTTTAAATACACAAATTCAACAGAAGATAATGTTGGAAGATCAAAATGAAGAAATCTTCTATAAAGCACACAGACAATAGTGTCTAAAGTGGAAAAAAAAAAAAGAGAAGAAAATTAAGCATCACTCTAGGAGGTTCAATATCTGATTAGGACAGAATCCAATTTCTCAAAAGTAACAGGGAAACCTAGAAGAGGGTGGAACAATGGCTTCAAAACCCTGAGGGAAAATTATTTTAAACTTAAAATTGTATATATAGTCAAACTATCAATGAAATTGTGAGAACAGAATAAAGGCATTTTAGACATGTGAGGACTCAGAAAATTTGCCTCTCATATACCACCTCTTAGGAAGCTTTAAGTACTTTAAGAAGTGCTCCAGTAAACTAGAGAATAAACCAGGAAACAGATCCAACACAGAAGGGGGACAAGAGGTGGTCATGGGATAATGGCTATGTAACTGGCCAAGAGAACCACCAGTACAGATTGGCCTGGAAGGACAAATATAGAATAGACCTCCCTAGTAAAAACAGGTAATCAGATTATCTGGTATTTGGGGACAAAACCCCTTCAAAACTATTGATGAGAACATGATGGACCTGACAGAGAAACTGAAGAAAGTTTAGGGTAAGTTTCCAGAAAGTTAGGTGTTTAAAACAAGGCAATTATTGGGGTGCCTGGGTGGCTCAGTGGGTTAAGCCTCTGCCTTCAGCTCAGGTCATGATCTCAGGGTCCTGGGATTGAGCCCTGCATCGGGCTCTCTGCTCGGTGGGGAGACTTCTTCCTCCTCTCGCTCTGCCTGCCTCTCTGCCTAACTTGTGATCTCTCTCTCTCTGTTAAACAAATAAAATCTTTAAAAAATAATAATAAAATAAATAAAATGAGGCAATTATTAATTCTAGGAAAAATAAAATGATGTAAAATGTAATCAGGTTGCATTGCTTTGCTCTATAGTCATAATTAAACAACAGCTATTTTATTTACTAAATATAATCATAATAACATAATGGGAGACAGAGAGGTAGGTGTGTTAAAGAGCTAAATCCTCAGGTAACATTATCAAGAAGATAATAATGCCTAAAACTGTTAAATTAAGCAATAGTAGAATAGTCATATTATTTTATTTAGATATACTAAAACAAATACCAAAAGAAACTTCTGGACTCAAAGTGATTATCTCTGAAAGTTAAAGTTGGGGCAGGGAGGAACACCTGGGTGACTTAGTCAGTTAGGCACCTGCCTTCTGCTTGGGTCATGACCTGAGTCCTGGGATCCAGTCCCACATCAGGCTCCTTGCTCAGCAGGAAGCCTGCTTCTCTCTCTGCCTGCTGCTCCCTCTGCTTGTGTACACGTGCTTGTTCTCTCTCTCTCTCTCTCTGACAAATGGATAAAGAAAATCTTAAATAAAAAAACAGGGAGGGGGCACCTAGGTGGCTCAGTGGGTTAAAGCCTCTGCCTTCGGCTCAGATCATGATCCCAGGGTCCTGGGATGGAGCCCGCATCAAGCTCTCTGCTCAGCAGGGAGTCTGCTTCCCCCTCTCTCTGCCTGCCTCTCTGCCTACTTGTGATGTCTGTCAAATAAATAAATAAATAAATCTTTAAAAAAGAAAAAAACAGATTTTTTAAAGCATGTATACATGTTACTTTGACAAAATGTGAATTTATATATTTACAAATGGATAAAATCAAATAAGCTCACCATGGTCTGATTTTAGGCATATTTATTTTGAAATTTAAAATGACATTAGGGAAAATATAATTTATATTTATTGAATGGGGCATGGACTAAAAAAAGAAAGCTCTAAAACACTTGACTAGATCATCTAAACTCTGCAACAAACATTTATGCATCAAAATTCTTCTTGAAATAGCACTTCCTTACTCCCTCCACCCTTCCCTCAAAATAACCGTGTTCACAAAGAAAACTTTTCATCTTAACCAACAAAGGACCATAAAATAATTCTAAGGCAGTATTTCCATGAAGAAGATTAACCAGCATTGATTAACCCTACAGTCAGCAGCTCCTCTTTCCTGGTTTGGTTTTTATTTCCTGTATGCCCCTCCCTCTTTGTTATTTTCATTATCTTTGCTCTCTACCATTTCTTCCTTTTCTATTTATTAGACATTTCCTTGATCTAAGACCAAAATTTAGCCCATCTGCCTGTAATTCAGGTGACAATCTGACCACCTAATGGTAAGAAGAAATGTTTCCCAGTAATATAGACAAATCTTGCAGTTAATGCTGTCAAAGTGATTAATATATACACATACTGGCAATCAAATCTAGACATGGAAGTGTTAAAACTCAGGACTTACTGACTTTGAGCTAAAGTTTAGTCTTCAACATTAGCAAAAACACTGGGGCATTATTATTTTAGCAAGACTCTTAAAGCAAAATTAATTTTGTTCATTTTTATTAATACAGAACATACTAACAGAACATTATCTTTAAATATAATCAAGGTTACAAATAAACTGTTACTAACCAATAAACAAAAAATATTCACTTGACTCTCCTCTTGAATCAAAATTCTCTATTAGGTAGTACAGTTATTTTTCTCTTCTTATTTTTAACTGTCTTATGATTTCAATGAAATTTCTTAGCTTTTACTTATTAAATAATTCCTTCAATTGGGAAACTTCATATATCAAAATACTTCCTGTGAGTCAATGCATTCTTCAATGCCTTCTACTTAACCTAAATGCAATAAAATGCAATATGATTCTCTGAAAGTTGAATATAACATCAGTATTTCCAAAAGATGAGCATAAAACCCATAAGAAAGAAATGCTTTTCCTCCCCCACCATGCTTCACATAAGCCATGTGAATGTTCCACATTCTTCATAATTAGTAACAGTAATCCCTTAAAGCTCAAATGACAGGAGACCGGAAGGGAACTGGGCCATCAATGAACTTGTAGAACAGATAAAACTCCAAATGTATTTTAAGATTCTGTCTTCACCACAGATGAGAAAGTGTTGGGAAGGTCTTCAATTTTTCTTTAGTGGCACCTTTGTTCCCCTAATCAGAAAAAAAGAGATGCAGGATGGCAGTCCTCCTTAAACAACATAAACTCAATCTGGATAGACTGGCAAAAACCTTTTCCCCCAGGGATGTATCCTAGAAAATAAACTGCCATGTGCAATAGGGTTAATTTATCAGAATAAACAACAATATTCTGAAGGACTGACAAAACAAAGGGTATTTTTAGACAAAGAATACCCTATGCACTCAGAAATTTCAGGATAATCATAAAGTAAGTACCTCATGCAAGTAATATTCTACCAGTTAAAAGTCATGATGAACTACAAGTTCTTTTAACTGAATTTCATGTTATACAAAACTTATGAAGTGTGGCACATTTTTATTACCATTACATTATTTGGTGTTTTTTCAAACATATATTAATCAAAATTGATACATTACCAAGACCTTTTGATTTAAAATATAACTGAAGGGAATCATTACAAACTCTGAATAAACAGCTAATCTTCTATACAAACATGAGTTAAAAAAAAAAAAAAGCTATTTCAAAGCAATTAAGCCATCTCTGATTAAAACATACGTTTTCATGCATGTGAAAAAGTAAGTTTACATTCAAGAATAAGTTCCAAAGCAAACAAATTATAGCATTTATTCAATAAGGAATATTAAAATAATTCCAGTTAATAGAAAATAAAATAACTTTAACCATATATAAATTATAATTTACCATGTGCATACTGTAAAATCTCCAGAATTTATGAAATTTAAGGAATTTATTTTTAAAGTATGTTTTAGGAAAAACCAACCAAAATAATTGGTACCTTAACTAAAAAGAATGTGCATTCACATCCACATTTGACCTATATACAAAAATTGAATGAAATATAAAAGAAATGAAGGTTACTGTTTTCTAAAATTTCTACAATATAACATTAATACTTAAATCAAAACTTACCTGCAAAAAAAAAACAGCTTGAGGTATTTCCAATGCTGAAGCAAATTTCTGAATGTTAAATACCACAAGAATGAAAAGTCTCCTTTGAACATTTACAATTGGTTTATAGTTGAGGCAGAAGATGAAGGTCTGCCAAGAAGTTTCCCCATCTCACCTATGCATCCCTTATGAAGTATAAGCTTCAAGGGAAATGATCACATGTAAAAACGTATCAAGTGAGTTGGGGTTCCTGACTGCAACATCTTCACCAAATCGAAAGAGGAATTTTAAATTCTCCCACCCGAGATCCACCTGACCTCTAGACATGACCATTAATTTCTATGCTAGACAAGGTAAGCATGTCCTTGTCCTTTGAAATCAAAGCTAAACTTGAAAAAGAACTGTACTGGATAAACTGAATACAGGAACCACCTCAACAAAGATGGTACTTTAAGCCTTTACACATGACACATGAAAATGATGAAGTGTTTTATTTAATTTGGTCTTTCTTCATCGTTTTGTAACTCCAAATCCTGCAAGGTTAGCAAGTCATTATATTCACACATCTTGTAATCCCTTTCTTCACCCAACAGGCACACATATACAGCATCATATGTCAATATAATATTATCAACACAGCATAAACATTTAAGCAGTATATGCATTTCACAGGAAAGAGGCTCTATGCATCATATGGCCTGACCCAACACAAAGCAAACATTAGAATGCCATTTCAGCAGTTACAGTATTGATATGATCAATATAGTTAATTTGTTTCATACCCGTCATGTATTTCCATAAGACATCCATAAAGAAGGAGCAAAGGACAAAAACTGCTTTTTAAAAAAAAAAGTTATGTGCCAACTTCAAAAATGACATACTAACCAGACATCAGCATTCGAAAGCTAGGTTGAACAGGACTGGCCTTGATGCACATGCAGTAAATTTGTTTTCAGAATATAAAATTAAATGGTAATGTCAGCAGTATTACTACTGTTTCTATATTTATGATTAATTACTAGCAGTACAACTCCCAGAAGAAAGGAGATGGATCCAATAGCGATGTAAGCAATCCCCAAAAATGGATTTTTTCCTCCCATCCATGAAATAGTGCTCAAGATCATCCGTTTTCGTCCATCAAAAGAATGTACAGGGTAATCTGAAGAGTGTATAGGAAGACTTTTCCATGTCTAGTCGATTTTTAAAATACAACTTAAAATCTGGCATTTAATTGCTTGTAATTCATTGGTATAATTCCATGATACTTAGGCAGCACCTTACTCACATTTTCTAAATCACAAAATAATTTTATAGTTACTACTTTGAAGCACTGAGTTAGCAAGTTAAACATTAGTAGTAAAAACCGTATAGTTTATAAGTAAAAACAACCGAATTCAAATTAAGGGTTATATGGTTTCTCAGATACTTTCACTCTCATTACACAGAAGGGACAAAAGGCCACAAAGAAATGTGATGTAGAACAAGTATTTCAGATGAACAACAATAAAACCCATTGAGGAAGAGAAGACTGACAGACCAGAAGAAAAAGGAAGAATAAAGAGACTGAAGGTCTCTGTGAGCCAAAAGAGCATGAATAAGAGAGTAATTATGAGAATGAGAGGACTCTGAGCACAAGGTCAAAGAGTATGATACTGAAGTTTTAACTTGTTTATTTGGAGCAATGACAAAACTCACGGTGTGACACAGAGCTGATGGCTGAAAACAGAGCAGAAGTGAAAGGTGGACTGTTAAAGAGATTTTTAAAAGTGGGACACTAGTATATTGGATAAACTATCTACACGGACCAATTCTAAGATTTTGGGGAGAATTAGGGCAGAGAAGACAGAACTAAATCCCTATGTGAAAGGTTTTACAACCTTTTCAAAAGCATCTTTTGAATCAAGTTTAGGCCCCATCTGTTTCTCTAGCTTCTGCAATTTTCCATCCCCACGGATAGACTCTATTACTTCAAATGGCAGGCTCTGCCAGTTTCTTATATCGATCCTTATCAAATCAATCAATCAATGACTAAAGTAAGAGTTCTAACAAATAAAACACTTGAGGGACAAGGTATCAAATCACCCATCTAACCTCTCTCTGTATCCCAAGACCCCAAAATGGGCTTCTGTCTTAATTCTAGTATCTAAGTTCCCACCTTGTAAGTAGTTTTTGTAATTACCCGTGATGCTTTGCAGACCCAAATTTCTTGCCTCATCAATTACTGAGAGCCTTTATTCTTCCTGACAGTTCTCTTTTCAATGCCTGGGATCCAAATAGTCTGTTAACTAAGAAAAAGTACTGAGTACTCCAAAGACGTCTCTTTATTTTGCTCTAGGCTACAGGCTTATATATGCCCTTATACCTTACTAGATCTTCTGGATTTTAACTGTGACAGAGTTGCCTCCTAAATTTGGCAATAGCCTCAGGATAATGTTCTATCAGCACCTTAACTAGGTCTGTCTGTGCAAAATTGCTCCCATCAGGGGGCCTAGGTTACAAAACTTGGCTACTTTTAGCCCGTCACTATCAGGTCATATTCAGTTGCATACTTGAGTGCAAAATCAAGAGACTAAGGATCCAAAAAGACATTTCTTTCGAAATTAGGTCTATTAATTTAACCATTCGCTAATGCATTATAAAACTGAAACTATACACTCATGACTAACCTGGATTATGAAAACTCAAAAATACAAAGATCATTTACAAACATTTGAGAAACTTTTTTCTTGTTGAAAACAAATATTTGAGAAACTTTTCATTCATGATATATGTAAGCACTGGGTTATAGATTAAAAAACATAAGGACTTTTGTTTAGAATAAAAGGCAGTGTCCAGGGACGCCTGGGTGGCTCAGTTGGTTGGGCAGCTGCCTTCGGCTCAGGTCATGATCCCGGCGTCCTGGGATCGAGTGCCACATCGGGCTCCTTGTTCATCAGGGAGCCTGCTTCTCCCTCTGCCTCTGCCTGCCATTCTGTCTGCCTGTGCTCGCTCTCTCTCCCTCTCTCTCTCTGACAAATAAATAAATAAAATCTTAAAAAAAAAAAAAAAAGGCAGTGTCCAATATTTTCAGCTAAGAAAGACTTTGTATCCAGGCCAATGTGGCTTGGTCTGACTACTTGAGTAAAGTAGCTAGGGATACAGCCTGTAGTAGTTTTGTAGCTGATGGTAAAGTCATGGCCACTGGAGTCAATAGCTTGGTTATGAACCCCAACTCTTCTACTTATTACCTGTACAACCTGGGGTAAGTTACTTAAATGCTCTATGTTCCTGTATTCTTGTCTATGACATGGAGATGATAACCATCTCATAATGCTTCAATTAAATAAAACAATGCATGGACAGTACTTAGTAAAATGTTGACATATAATCAGAATGAAATAAATGATATTTATAAGCACTGAAAGGTACACCTGAATTATTCATGTGGAATAATACAGCTAAGGATAAAAATGTTTTGGTACTATGAACGGAAAAATAGTTATAAACAATTATGTTGATGTGAACAAGCATCCACTGATTCTTAATATCTAAAAATATGCATTAAAACAGCCCACTACCATCAATACTTATTTAGCATCAATTATGCTCACTGGCCTTTGAATTAAGCTCAATTACAATCTCCACTGTAGAAATATTTAGCTTATTAATAAATGAAACAACAGCATCTTAAATAATTTTACCAAATAATGTGTTTGAATCCTAGTACAAAGTACATCAAAATTTAAAACTTCTGGAAGATAAAAAAAGATACTCTCATATATCGTCACATACTCCTGTAAAAATCATAACTAAAACAGAGTATCATCTCATTTAACTGAGATAAGGCTGAACAACACTCCTTTCAAATTCTATCAATCTGTGCACATGGCCAAAAAAGGATACTGTACGTGATATTCAAATAGTATCGTCCAGCTGGTAATGTTGGATGTAAATCACTTTTCCGCTCTATAAGACGATATAACTTACGAAAAGTAGGTAATGCTGCAGTACGCATCCAAACAATAAAATCCTCATTTATGAACCCATTGTTATCTGGTTCAGAATCCAGCATATACACTGGTTTAACCCAGTTTACTGGCTTTGTTGTACCTTAAAAAAAGGGGGGAGGGGTAAGAAGAGGGGACAAAATATTCAATTCTATTAAGAGTTTCACTTTCACTGAAAAGTCACTCAAATAAAACAAAGACATACAATACATAATCTAAGTATTTTTCATATTTCAAAGGTATAAATATATTCTAAGAAAGTTAAAATTTAGAGACAAACCAATTTCTCATGTAACAACAAATAACTACAAAGATTTGATGACTATCTCCATTAGGAAAATACTAAAAATTATGCCATTGAGTATATACCAAAAAGCAGATGATTTGATGCAAAGATATAATGACAAAAAAAAAATTACATTGTGAAATGGAGGCATAGTATCAAAAATAAATTTTAATTTATAACTATAATAAAAAACTGGATCTGTTTAAAAGAAACTCACCTGTAGTTTTAACACAATGGCTGAAATGCTTTTAAGAAAATACTAGAAAAATTCAAGATTAGAAATACACATTTCCTTTAGAATTTCAGTACATAGGAACATTCAATATATCTTACCTAAATTGGTGTGAAGTTAAGAAACATTTTTTTAAAAAGAATAAACATTTTTAAGATTCTAAAGATAGAAAATTTTAGGTACTTCATTAAAACTCCTAACTTATATCACATTTTAAAGAAAATTAGTAAATTTTACCTTTGAATCGTTCTTTTAGACTTTCTCCTCCAGAGGGATTTCTGAATTTCACATTTTTATCTGTCCACCAAGCAATACCTTTCTTTTTCAAAGTAATAGGGGTAGGATAAGATTCGTTGCCAACAAGAAATAATTCTAATGTATCTAAACATAAAAAAGAAGATACTGTTAAATACTGAAAATCCATAGCACCTACTATACTCTATGAGAAATGAGGATCTGGTATCTACTCCCCAAAGTGGCTGAGCAGGAGGCAGGTATACAATGTACATTTGCTCCTGACTACTTATACATGAATTATCTATGGTAATTTTATAATCCTAGATGGACTTCTCTTTCTTCAATACAGTTAGAGGTCGCTTCTCCTACATGGCTAACTGAGATGTAGTAAGGTCAATGTTTTAATATTAACCCAAGTAAAATAACTTGCAGGGTAAATCTGCTTCTCCTCCTTTCCTTTAAAAAACACATTCTTACCCAGTTTCTGGCTTATCCATTTCTCTATCCATACTATCGGATATGGTAGCCTCCAGCTACATGGCTACAGAGCCACTGAAACTACGGCTGGTCCAAATGAATATGTTTTGTAAGTATGTATCTCAGAAATAAAAAATCTCAATACAAAAAAATAGGATACAAAATATCTCATTCATCCATTTTATATACTGAGTATCATTTATAGGTAAAAAGATGGTATTTGGGGTTCAATAAAATATATTATTAAAATTAATTTTACTTGTTTTTGTTTTTAATGTGACTATTAGAAAATTTTAACATATACGTGTCTCACATTGATGGTTTAGATTATATTAGTATCAGACAGTGCTGCTTTAAATGATCAACTATAGCTTCTTTGTACTGGTATAAATATTGAGTTGGTGGAAAAGGCAGCCTGCCTTTTATTTTGTCATATATGAAATACGAAGACTAGCAGAATGTCTCTGCTTCTTCTTCCCAGAGCAAGATTCATTCTTAAAAAAAAAAAAAAAGGTCACAAAACATTATAATACCCCATTAAATAACTAACTGATATATTTATTTTAAAGTTACTTGGGGCACCTGGGTGACTAGTCAGTTAAGCGTCTGACTCCTGGTTTTGGCTCAGGTCATGATCTCATGGGTCGTGAGATGGGGTCGTGAGATGGAGCCCTGAGTGGAGTAGAGTGCTCCGACTCTGCGCCAGCAGAGAGTCTGCTTGAAGATTCTCTCCCTCTACCCCTACCCCCACTTGTATACCTGCATAGAGCTCCTGCACATGCGCAAGTGCTCTCTCTCTCAAATGAGTAAATCTTTAAAAAAAAAAAGTTGCTCAATTTCTCAACTTCATTCATGTTTACTAACCCCTACCCCACTTGCATATGTGCATAGAGCTCCTACACACGCGAAAGCACTCTCTCTCTCTCAAATGAATAAATCTTTAAAAAAAAAAAGTTGCTCAATTTCTCAACTTCATTCATGTTTACTA